TGTAATGTTGTGGTTAAGGCACATCCAAATTTAACAATTTAATTATTGACAAGAGTAGAGAAATTGAGCCACCTTAATATGTTTGAAAATTAACAACTTCAGTCAATTTTATTTTCTTTCTATTATTTTCATAATATTGCCTGTTGCATTCTTCCCTTTTTACAGTTAAAATTTTTGCGTGTGGAACGGATATAATTTTTGGTTGCGATTCATCAATAGCTACTTCACTTTAGGAGTATAAATGTAACAAAATTTAGTATTTAGGTAATCCACTATATTCCTAATCTTTCTTATTCTGTCATCTTTATTTTCCTCTTCATTATCCGTAAAATGTAGAAAGCTTGAAATATCAAAAGGCTATCGCGTGCCATAAGTGCTGGCAAAAATTGGAGTACTTATTGCATATCGTTTTGACCAATACATATGCTGTTTTGGCTTCTTCATGTGTGACATCAAGATGCATAATGCAATATAAGCTTTCATTTCATCAGAACTTGCAGGAAATCACTTTTTTTTTTTTACAAAACCTTGATTTTCTATCCCTTGTCTGCCATATCTCTTCGTCTCTTCTACTATAGTGTCCCAAAAATCTTCATTCAAGACTTCTTTCAAAACATCTAAAGGCATAGGATTACCACCTAGTCTACGCAGGCTCAAAGGATTAATTCCAGATATTTCAGAAAAACTTTTTTATATCGGCTACATTTTTTCTTCTTCTTAAATCCATTCCTCTGATACTGGTTCACGAGAAGATTCATTATCACTGTTCGATAGACGTCTTGTGCGTCTTCGAAACCTTGATATTATATTACAATTGTCATCATTTTCTAGTTCAATATCGTCTTCATCACCTTCGCTTTGTATTTCATTATAGTTGTCAATTTCAGGATCACTAAACAATTCTTCTTTAGATTTCTCAAAGTCACTTTCACTATCACTATCATAAAATATATTCCTTGTTTTTGACATAATGGGACAGTGTATCACAAATAATGTTCACCGAAATACTGTAATTGCCTCTTCTATTATGACTGATACAAGCTACAATGAAATGAACAGAATTGTGCATAACCTCAAATAACGTTTTAGACATGTCATCCGCTCCTAGGGAAAACAAGTGAATGTCGTCTCTCAGACGTCAAATGTACCCAAGAGTTTAATTTTTGGTTTGATGTCTTAGGCACGTCAACCGCTTCTAGGGGGAAAAAGTGAATGACGTGTCTCAGATGTCAAATGTACCCAAGGGGTTAATTTTTCTGATCTTTTGTACTGTATTCTTAGTGCATCTCTCTCTCTCTCTCTCTCTCTTTTTTTTTTTTTTTTTTTTTATTTTTTTTTTATTATTATTATTATATATATTATTTTTGTAAAAACAAAATTAGTATGTCACTCCAACATATAATTGAATGGTGGTGTAGCCTAAACTCATGGAAACACACTTGTGACATCATCGAAATATTGTTTATGTTTGTCTAACTTTGGGACTCTGCTGTGGCTCAACCTTAATTCCAATTTAAGCTGGAGACATGAAAAATATGCAGTGCCCTCACCGAGACTCGAACCCTGGACTTCTCGAATACACATCGAGTATGCTTCCAATTACACTATTCAGGCATGCAGAAAGGAGAGAGAAAATACCTTATGTACTCCCCTTTTTAAAGGGCATCTGGGGTTGGGGGACTGAATCTCCATATCCTGGTGGTGATGAATTATCACCCACCATCTTTTTTCCTTGTTTGGGTGTCACTTGTAGAATCATTAGGTTTTCTAATGCTGGAGAGGTGAAAAGTGTGTAGTGCCCTCACTCAGACTTGATTCCCTGGACTTCTCGTAATGCATCTAGTATGCTTCCAATTACACTGTGAAGGCATGCTGAAAGGAGGAAAAAATTACTCTGCATTACTAAGATAAGTTTTTTTTTTTTTTTTTTTTTTTTTCTGAGACCGTCATTGAGAAAAGTAATACTGCACTAAAAAAATTCAGTTAGCTGATTAAGATTAACGTGAAGACATGAAAGTGAGGATATTATTTAAAATATCTGAAAACATTTGTGTTTTAGGATGCTTTTGTTATCACTTAAATTCAGTTAAATAAGAATCATAATTTGGTTCAATGCTGCTTTGACATTTATTTTACATTGCCCCCATTTTCGCATATATAAATACACATATACATTCTTTGTCTCTAAAACTCAAATCAAATCAAAATATAAAGAAATTTCGCTTACCTGTCAGACGCATTCTCGCCTTTTATCATTTTCTCTATACTTTATTGATGACACAATTAAATGCATTTACAAGCAAAGAAAAGCACATATAAACTTTAGTTAGTGTTTCGCGTTCGTGTTACATCTTTCGCAATCCTCAAAGTTCTGCAGGTCCAAGGGATTCAAGCGCACACAGCGCTATCTGGTGCAGTACGGTTTCTACAGCATATGACAACCACTATTAGGATTGGTAAAATTATATTTATGGTTAACACAGAAGTGTTCATAATCCCGCCTCTCTTAATTCTTCAGTGTTATATCCTTTCCAACAGTCGGAATATATTGTAGTCCCATCAATAATATTTTCTTCAATAACTTTAAGCAAAGTTCAGGCATTTTAAGCACAGCAACTGAAAAACATTCTTTTGTTTTCTTGGTAAATCCTACGACATACCCGCTAGGGCAAAAGGATATGACCTGTTTTTCAACTTCGACAATGTTACCTGTGTTGCTTACTTTAACTGATGGTCTAGACATTAATGCATGATAACAGACTTTCCTTATATAAGTGTTCTAGTCAACAGCAGTGCAGTGATTCATATCAAGTTGATAATGACTAAAGTCAAGAGAAGTTAATTTTGAACATTATGCATAAATGCAATGAATTGCTGTTTTGAAACTGATTTTAGATCCTTCTAACCACTTTTGAGAACATAGTCATTACTTTTTCCATCAGCATGTGTATCTCTGCATCTCCATTTTGTTGCTTCCTTCAAATTGAAGTTTTTTTTTTTTTTTTTGTTTGTTTGTTTGTTTGTTGCTGTTGTGTGTTCGCACGAGCATTTTCTTTCAGAGTGAGTAATTTCTCATTCCTGAGAAAATTGTATGGAAAATGCTTTATCATTAGGTAAGTCAAATTTTGCATGTCCATGATAAATGCTGTAATAATAGAAACGCAAGTGAACATAACATCTTTAGAGTTTGTATTATCATCGCCAATTTTGAAAAGGCATTCTCTTCGCTTTACCTAGTTTACTTTTATAAATGTAAACTTTGGCGACTTCGTATGACCGCTCTCTTGGTGAAATTAGTAAAACATTTGGCAAACATTGACTCCGATCCCAATAACAGAACAGTACCGAGAATTTTCTTAATTCTAAATAGTTGAATATTTTCACTGTTGTCTTCTTTTTTAATTGCAGCTAAATAAATGTAAAATGGAAATAAAGAGCAGTTATAAGATTTTTAAATCTTCATAAAAATACTAACAGATGTGTTTAATTTTTTTCTTGTACTTTGAAATTATAAAAAGTTTTTTATTATCATTGTTGTTAAATTGGGAGGAAAATATGTCAGCGTTAAACTGACTTTTTTCATCCCTCTTTTTTTTTTTTTTTTTTTTTTTTTTTTTTTTAATTGCAGCTAAATTTATAGGAAATAGTATATGTAAAATAAAAATAAAAAGCTGTTAGATAAGAAGTTTAAATCTTCATAAAAACACTAATAGATGAGTATGATATTTTCTTTTATTTTGAAACTATAAAAAATTTGATTATTGCTATTTTTAAATTGGAAGAAAAATGTGTTGGTGTAAAACTGACATTTTTTCATACTACAGTCAAAAGTCTTTAATCCAGACGTCCACAAACCAGAATTATCTATAATCTCAAAGCTACAAACTTTCTGCGCATGTGTCAACGCATAATGCATAAACGCATGCACATAATACCCTTACACATGTGCATATGCGTCTACGCATGCGCATAATACGTTTACGCATAATACGTTACATGCGCGTTTAATGTGTAACGGGCGGTATAAGCTAAAATTATCTAATTATCTATTTCAGTTAGCATTGCAGATTGTGTTGTTCCTTAATCTTCTAATTGAATCCGGCTTATTATTTTTTGCAGACTGTTAGAGCAATTTTATAAAAGTAAGCTTGAACGTTCGATTATGTCAAAAAGAATTTCCGATTCTGGAGCTACCAAACGATCCACAAAGCGAACGCATTTTTTGATGTCCATCAAACAAAAAATGGGTAAAGGCATATCCTTTGATTCTCTAACCATTCCAAAATATGTTTATCAATTTCATGCTGCTCTTCGGGGGAGGGGGGGAAACGACGCAGCACACAATGAACTGGAAGTTGATCTGTCAGCACTATCCCTATCTTCAGTGCAGATGTTTTTATTTTATTTGTCTTATAATTCCTTACTAAATGAAGTATTTCATCTCGATGTACCGTCTTTGATGTGATTTAAATCAAATTCCTCGTCATTATAAATATCACGAATACACATCAAATAGTTTTCTGGTTCCAATTTTCTAATTTCGACTATGCGTAATGTATGCTTTATGCATGCGAGCGTTGAAAGAAATGTTTAATAAAGTAAACAAATAAATATTAAGCTGGTTTTTTTTTTTTTTTTTTTTTTTTTTGTAAATTTTGATACCTTTTACTTCATAATTGCTCTTTATTTCATAAATTACAGTTTCGTATTTTTAATTTTATAATTTCTGCATGCCATCTTAGCAGATTTAAACTGATGATCTATAATCTGGAAAAACCGATAATTCGGAATCGCCGAAGTCTCGACGAGTCCGGATTAAAGGCTTTTTTTTTGACTGTGTTATTTTCTAATAACAATAAGGGTGATAATAATAATAATTTTAAATTTGGCCAAAAAAAACGACTTATGTTGCATAGTTTTAATTCTTTATTTTTGTTAGCAAGTAACAGGCATTTATTTGAAATATGTATTATAACCCTTTTTTTTTTCCTTAATTTTAGTCGATTACGATTCATGACCTGGAGTATATTGCACAATTTTTTGAAGCGACATGGTGCTAGGAGTGGTAATTTTTTTGCTAACAGAGCAGTAATTATAGAGGAATTGCTGAAGGACATTTCTGTTACAGTTCAAAGAGAGGTCTGTTTCTGTTATTATATTTGTATTAAGCTTGTATTTAAGAATAGTCAGTTTTTCTCTAAATTTCATTAAAACTTAACAGGGTGTGGTATTTAATCCTTGATTACTGTATTTTCTGTGTCTGCAGAGGGAAAGAGAAAAGTAATTGGAACGTTTTTAAAAAAGAGGGGGAGGAAGAATTCAGATTTTTAACTTCACATCATAGAATTTGTTAATGTTACTTATGCTGCCACTGATTGAACATCATCTGACATCACTGCTCCTACTGTTACAATTTTTTGGTCATTTTAGCTTTATTATTAAAAGCATTGCTTTCTTTGTACTTATGTCATATAAAATTCAAGAGAAAAATCACAAATATTTAACAGCAGCATATCCTTACAATTACCAATAGAGGGTAAGGGATTTACTATATATTTTGTTCATTCGTCCACCCCTCCTCTCCAAAGAGGCAATCTGCCTAGAAGGACTATTAATTTAATTTTGGCATTTTGTGTTGTTTCACTTTTCAAATTGTTGCCACCAAATATTTAAAGAAATTAAATAATGAAGAATCTAGATAAATGTATGTATGTTTCTTGCATTGTGATAAAACAACGGTACCTAGAGCCATCAAATTTTGAATAACGTAATGCTCCTGCAAATATTGACATCAGCAAGCCCAAATTTGGAATTTGTTTTATTATCGATTTTAAATTTTGTAAAACTTAAATGAATTTTTGATTAACAAACTCAAGGATTTCAAAGTGAGCAATGGCAACGTTGTACAGAAAAACATTTTTATCTCCAGCGTGTGAGAGTGTGTATCGGAAATTCTAAAGATATGCTTATTTTAAAATTATTTTGTGATATTGCTCTCTTAACTGAATTTTATGGTTTATATTTAATAAATAAAGGTAACACACAAAATGTTAAAAAAATGCCCCCTTGGGCGTAATTAAAATCTGAAACCTTTTTTTTTTTTTTTTAACTAGCTGTCTAAAAGAGTTATCTTAAAAAAGAAAAATATATATAATGATTTTAATGAGTCCGGCTAGTGTTATTTAATCAAAATATTTCAGATTTCTAATTAGTCATCTCATGATTTAAATCAATCAGATTAAAAAGTTGAAAAAAAAAATTAAGAACTGTGTTTATTGCTTTTCAGTTATATAGTAATAGATTAAATTTGGAAGTTAAATATTGTATGTTTTATTGAATGGCAATACACTGGTGCATGGAGATGATAAATATTTTCTTTGTGCCTGTCCTAATACATTTCTTTCAACTAGCCAAATTTGTGGATTAAAATTGAAAGATAAGTATCTTACATTTTGCCGAGTGACAACAGTCAGATAAGTGTTTTATTTCGAACATTGTTGTCACTTCTCGCTTTCCTGTTGCAGATTGTATTAAATAAAATTCAGAATTGGGTATTCCAAGTGCGCATATTCGGATGGAGGACTATCGGTATTAAAAATTCGTGGGCTGTAGGTGCTATGGAAGAACATTCATACAGGTTCTTCATTATGTCACTTTTTTTTAAAAAAAATCTGATGTGTACACCACATGACTTCCTTGTACGGAATATTAAATTATACGCATTTTTTCTTGCATTTCATTTAAACTTATTGGATTGAATTAAATCTACTTCGCCGACAGTGCATAAACCACAATAGAATAAATACATTCTTTAAAATTCACTCTAGTATTTGTTTACCATAGCGACACTCTGACGCTAGATTCACTTAACAGTATTATATTTCGTTCATATTATAACTCATAATGCACAAAATTTATATCATTTAAAGCAAGGATGTCAAACTCGCGGCCTGGCCAATATATCGGCAAATAATAATATATAATAATAAAATAACATATTGAACGAATATCTAACGAAGAAAAAAATGAAATGTTTACTGCTAAGTAATTAACGATAATTTATTCAATGATGTTAGATTACTCACAGCGAGCTGACACACACACTACTTAAGTTACAAATGCGTGGAGTAGCTTGCGTTCAGCTACCTTCGGCTTTTGGGGGACACATGCACTCAGAACTTGTACGCATCCCCCGATAGCCGAATGTGGCCGAACTCATGGTCTCAGTTTTCCAATCATAGTTTTGTACGATATATTGGTGCATGCATGTGCATGCACTTTGCTTTATTATTAATTATTACTTAATTCATATTGTTATGGATTTCATAGTTATTTATTTAGTTTTTTTTTTTTTTTTTTTTTTTTTTTTTTATATATATATATATATATTATTATTATTTAGAATTGTAATTAGATTTGCTTTATGTTGCCTTAGATACGCAGACGATTTTTGAAAAGACAGCTGCGTTGGAAGGTTAAAAATAGAACAGTTCGTGCATTTAATACCTAATAAATAAATATCTCATAATTGCTGTTGCCATCCACAAAAATCCAGATATTTATAGATGTTTCCAGTATATTCGAGAAATTAATTATAAAGCTTATAAAAGCCGAGAACAAACAACTCATCTCAGTAGTAGCTGTAGTTCTAGCGAACTGTTTGTTTACTTAATGCTGTGATTGATTTGTGGCGAGTTTCTCCATTGCCTGTGACGAGTTTATCAAATAATAAATGAAGACGTTATCTACCAACATATAAGAGTAAAGAAACTGATATCACTTGAGCCGGGTAACAGAGTGGATATATATTTATATATACGTTTGGTGCGGCCGATTGCAACCAAAATACGAGGTGCACATCTACATGTTATAGCAGTCCTATATACAAAATTTCAACATTCTGACGCTACTCGTTTTTGAGTTATGCGAGATACGTACGTTCGTACAGACTCCGCGAAAAACTCTCTTCAGAATTAATTTTAAAGCTTTTTTTGGGGGGGGAGGAAACGAGTCTTTTATTCTGTCCTTAGGTACAGATATCACGCTAAAACATCGTTAAATTGTGTTCGATAGCGGTCAAAATGGATATTTTCGTTGAAATATGCTGCTTGAAACTTTTCGCGATTACAATACTTCCTTTTTACTTCGTACAAGGAAGTAAAAAGGAATGAATCATGATAACAATTGTTGACAAAAATTTCAAATGTGACCTCTGGTGTTAAAAATCTCTAAATTATGCCTATTAAATATAGATAAATGTTTTTAATTGTTAACAATGTTGTAATTTATTTTACTAAAATAACAATATTTACAATAATTGTAATATTTACAAATTATTAATATATTATTATATTAGCAAGTTATTATTATATTAGTACTATACAAGTTGTTAGTATTTTTTATACAGTATCTTAAAAGTGCAAATTCTTTAGAATTTTTTTTAATTATCACTTTTCTTCTATAATTAGTATAGTGTGAATATTTGATGAAGTTCGCTTCCCTTGGTACATCTCAACTGTCTCGATCTGATAAAAATCTTTTGATGGTTATTATTGTCTTTCAACCCCTATTTTTTAATTATCTCATCTTGAAAACTTTGAAAGCCAGTAAACAGTAAACATCTGTATGAATATTTCTGTGGTAAATTTTTCCAGAGTTCTGAAATATTTCTTTTGATAAAAATATTTTTTTTTAACCTGTTATTAGATTTGCACATAACAGTAAGTAACATTCTGTGCCACACTGGCATAGCGAGAATAAGGTAGGCATCTTAGTAAGTAGTGTGGTAATAAAATGATTTTTGGTATAATCTGTTGTTGCTGTTTCATTGCAATAAGTGCATAAATTGTAAGAGTAATACAAATATTTTACTGCTTTATTTGACTGAGGTTGGTATTTATTTGAATAATTATTGTGAGAGATGTTATTTTACTTATATTTTAGGATGAAAATATTTTTTCCCCGTGAACATATGGCATTACAAGGACATTGCTGCAAAATCTCTTCAGGCTGCTTCTCTCTATGCAGTGTATGAAGCCATCAAAATTTAAAAGACATCTTAAAATCTCCAAGCATCCTTCTTTTGTCAATAAACTAAAAGAGTATTTTGAACAATTGTTAAAATCTTCAAATAAAGGGGAAAAAAACACTGGAAAGATTTATGACTGACACTTGAAAGATTTAGAAAACTATTTACTGGTATCATATGAAGGTGATATATAGTTGCAAAAAATAAAGACCTTGCACCATTGGAGAGAATCTTGTATTGCCTGCTATAATTAAAATGGCAGAAACACTTCATAGTAGTAAACAGAGCTATGAAATTTGGAAAAATTCTTTTGTCAAATGGCACTGTCATAGAATTTCTGAAATTAACAATGGGCAATTTGAGCAACTTATTACTAGACTTAAAGAAAGCCTGAAAGTTTACAGTGCAGTTGGATGAAAGATGCATTTATAAGAAAGCATCGTTGAAGAATTATTATTTTGTAATCCTTTGGAAGAATTTGCAAGGTGTGGACGAATTTAAAACTGAAAGTTTAGAATAAAAAACTTGCATTGAAATATGCGTAGATGGTACAAAATCTATGTCGGGCAGAAACATTGGTTTTAAATCATTTGTAAAGCTGTTGGTGTGATTATGTAATTTTTTTCAGACTGTCTGATCCATCGAAATATACTTGTAACAAAAAATCAGCATTGTAATTGAATGATATGCTTCGGGATCCTGTCAAAATTATAAACTTTATTCAAAGCCCTGCTGTTAAAAACTGTTATTATCAAATCACTGTAAAAACATGGACTCCTAATACAAATATTTATTATTACATGAAGAAATAAGAGAGCAAAGTTTAAGAAGATTTTGTTATTGATAGATAAAAATTGAACAAGTCTGATCTTACTGCTCTTTTTCAGAATGACTATCAAGACTTTGCTATATGTGAGATATTTTTGAGACATTAAAAAATATTAACTTAGCTCTGCAAGGAGAAAATAGCAAAATATTTGCTTTGAATGATAAAATTTGTTTAAAAACTCAACATTTGGAAGAATACAATTTAAAATGATTCATCTGAGATGTTTCTCACAATTTAGTTTTATAACTGGAGGGAAATTGTAAAACTTAAATTGCAAAAATTATCATAGGTCACTTAGAAACACAGTTCTGCAAATGTTTTATATCAAATATAATTTCAAAAAGTTATCTTGGAGTCAAAAACCATTTTTGATCAATATTAATCAAATTAATTAATTGTCATTATAAAGCCCAAGAGTTTTTTTTTTTTTTTTTTTTTTTTTTTTTTTTTTTTTTTTTTTTTTTTTTTTTTTTTTTTTTTTTTTTTAAGCTATCTTGCGAGCCAAAACTTTCCATAAAAATTCTTTACTGAATTTTGAATTGAAGCTAGAACTGCATTTCTCACAATTTCTGAAATGGCATTAAATATTCTTCTGTCATGTGAAATGATTATTTAGTGTTTAATATTTTTCAAATTGAAATATTGTTCAACAATGAAAACAGTTAAAAGATGTCTTGTCTAGCCGTGTCAGATGCTGCAGCAAGTTTTAATTTCTTATGCAACAAAAGCAAACTTATCTTCCCCCTTCCCCCCCCCCTTTTTTTTTTTTTAAATACGTGAAAGAAAGAAATACAATAACTATTGCTTCTTTTGTCAAAGAAATAAATTATTAATGGGAAGCTATTTATTATCTTTATTTTATATTCAATATCTGGGGTCGTAAATGAGTCATGATATGAGAAAAATTTAAGTAGCACTCATTTATTATAATATTACTTTAAATATTATAATATTACTTTCTAAACAGTCCTTTATAGAATGGAAGATCAATATGAAATTTCTGAGAGCTTTCTCCTACATTTGTTTATGATGTCTTCTTTCTTTCCCCCCCCCTTTCTTCCTCTCTCTCCTCTTCTCTTTTTTTTTTTTTTTTTTTTTTTTTTTTTTTTTTTTTTTTTTTTTTTTTTGTTGTTGTTGTTGTTGTAATCAGTTTTGCAATGAAAATTTCACTGGTCTGAGCAAAGAGTTGTCTGAACTTCATCTTTGCTTCTATAACAGTCACTGATCTTTACCATGTCTCCTATCTGATTTTATTTGGGAAAACTATTTCTTAACCAAATTTATCTCTGCCTATAAAAAATATTAAAAACAATTTAGCTCGGCTACAAATACTATAGATAAAATATTTATTTTCTACGTTATCATCTTAAGATCTATCTATATTCGTAATTTTTTTTACACACTCCATGATCCTGCTGCATTTTCTTATCCCTGAATGACTTCTTCTCTCTCCCACTACCTAAATTGCTTGTGTGCTAAACCATCATTACAGCCAGTCCTGAATCTCCTAATGCTTATATGGTCAGATGTTATGCCTCGTCCATCAGGAGCCCTCCCTCCAGCTCTGAAGCCACTCATTTGAGCCTCAATCGTCAACTATTCCTTCTGCCTGCTGTGCCATCCATCATGCTTTTCTGCTGCTTCGACTCTTCTATGCTTACAACTACTACACCTGGACTTTGTCTATTTCGATTGCTTATTACATCGTGTTTTATTTCTTGATCAGCTTTCTTGCAATGCTAGTAGAAAAAGTGATGTATCTCCAACATGTTTTTTCTCAGGATGAGGCTAATTACCTTAGGGGTTGGTTTATGTGAAATTTTAGTTGACCTGAATATAGAAATTTACTAGAAAAATTACAAACCTGCAGCTATTTCTGCCCCTGTCCTTATCAATAGGACTACTTTGTCAATATTGACAGCGCAAGCTACTGTCCTTGCAGTTTCTTTTAAAAATGATGCATAATCTCTTTTCTGATGCAGTGTCATCTGTTGGATATATTTGTAATTAAAAAATAAATGTGTACACCCATCATTTTCTCTATATCTATGCTAATTGATACTCTACATCACAAATTCATGGAATTACAAATGTTCTTATTATTAGTTGATTTTTAATATTACCTTTTATTATATGATAAAAAGGAGAATCTTCAGTCTTTATGTATTAAATTGTTCATAATAGTTTCTATTTAAAAATTATGATTTTAGCACTGCTATATTTTTACTTTAATAAATATGATGGTATCTAGGATTTTATTACAAAGCTTGCAAAGATTATCACTATATATATAAATGTTTGTAAGCTTTGCAGGAAAATTGTGAATTCAGAATACTAGTTTATGCTAATATTATGGCAATTACTATCAAAAGAAATGTTATTAAAATCCAAAAAAAATTAGTTCATTTTATGCAAAAAAAAATTCTTTTGCTTATTATATTTTTTGTTTTATATAGCAAACTAGTAAACCCTACCAGACCATTCAGCATCCAGAAAGGAAAAATTCTAAGAATTATATCAGTGGTATATCTTCATGTATTGAAGCTCTGAAAGGTACTTACAATTTGTTTTGATACTGTGTGTATGTGTATGCATGTAATGAAAATTTTGAGTTTTGTTGTAGATGATGCAAACAATTCAGCTTGCAATTTTTGAATATGTCATAGATAGTGATGCTGAAGACATTTTTAATTAGAAGAAATCATGGCCATTTCACACATATATTTATTTTAAATGCATTTCAGACAAATAAAATACAATAAATGTGGGCATTATTTTTCACATACTAACTACATTGACAAAAAGAGCGGCAACAGACATCATAATTAAGACACAATAACGCACCTTATAAATACTAATTCAGAAGTCAAACAACAAAAATCAACGTTACATTTTCAAAATTTTCACAGGACTAGTTTTGATGGTTTTACCATCGATGGATAAGAATAAGCAATTCTTGTCAAGGCTTTCTTATCTTATCTAATCATTATTTCCTATCTTGTTCATTTGCAGTTTTGCAGCTGAGGGTGGTGGTTCGGTAAAACCATCGAAACTAGTCCTGTGAAAATTTTGAAAATGTAACGTTGATTTTTGTTGTTTGACTTCTGAACAGACATCATGTTAATAGAAGACGAAGAATAATGCTAAGGGTAAAATGTATATACTAGAGTAAGGTTATCTGAATGTAGCAAAGCATGAGGGCTATCTGCCTTAGTGGGAAGCCTTTCTGAAGATAACTGGCTCGTATTCACTTTACACATTGGGAAGCCTAACTATGCACCTTTGCATGATTCGAACCCAAATTCAACTACCAGCATTCAATAGTCTTAGCCTCTCAGCCACAGGTGGAGTGATATTACAAGAATGTAGAATAAGAATAGTGAAGGTATGGTTCTTCTTTGTTTATATTAGTTGGTTTAAAGTTTGGGTTTGGAAATTTACCTTTACTGTTTGATAAAAGACTGCAGTTTCATTTTTGTCAGTACAAGTTTCATTAGTGTTATATAAGAATTGTATGAGAGACTTATTTTCAAATGATACATTTGAGAATCATATTATAGGACATAATCATAATAATCATAGGACAGAAAGGGAGAATAAATCTTGCACATATTCTTCTTCAAAAAGAGAAAATCATGGTAATAGTAGAAAAGGAAAAGTATTATCATGGAAAATATAAATTATGATAATTTTGAATTTAATAACAATTTCTAAAAATGCAGGTTTTTTGGGGTGGTTACTATATTTTTTTAAAACAAGTATAGTTAAATAAGTTCGAGTGCTTTAAGAGTATGCGTTGAACTCACTATGACGCATTTACTAAAACAATACGGTGTTGAAACTTGTCATCATTTGACTAACATATTATTCAGTTCATCACCAACTTTCGTAAATATCGAACGCATTTTCGCACCCATAAAAGATGAATATATAGATAATCAGTACAAACGTGCTGTGCTACATTTTTTATTTTTGTGCGGTGAAGCTGCCAGGTTTGCAGCGATAAAAATTAATAGTGTACATGGTGAACACACTATTAATGTAAGGACAGCCCAGAAATGGTTTAAAATTTTTTAAGTTGGAAAAAGCAGCATTGATGATGAACCCCATTCAGAATGTTTTGAATTGTTAGAACCAAATCAAATGATTAATTCAGAAATTTATAGTGAAAAACTTTGCCTTCTAAACTCAGAATTGATCAAAAAATGCCCATGGTTGGTGAATATCAAGAAAGTTGTTTCATCATGATAACGCTAGACCGCATACGGCTCGAGCAACGCTGCAAAAAATTAGTGAATTTAATTGGAAGCTTTTGCTACATCCTGCTTACTCCCCAGATATTGCCCCAAGTGATTTTCACTTATTTCGTGCCTTACAAAATTTTTTACTGGAAAAAAAATTAAATTCTAAACAGGATGTACGCAAAGAACTTTAAAGTTTTTTTGCATCAAAACCAAAGATTTTGTACAGCAGTGGCGTAAAAAAGCTGCCCGTAAGATGGCGAGACATTGTAGATAATGGAGGAAAATATATAATTGATTAAAATGTTGTATTTTTTTTTATATTATTTAAAAATTTACCAAAAAATGCACATGAATTTATGGAGTGACCCAATAGAATAAAATTGAAATTTCAGTTTTCAGTAACACAAATTTGAAAATATCTTTGATTTTGCAAAATTCATTCTAAGAGTTCTGAGAGTAAGCTTTAAAATTGTTTTCATTTTAGTTACAAAATATTACAAATTTAAAAACTTAACTGTGACCACCAAATGTTAGTCCTAGATTATATTTGAAGAAATTAATTAAAGAAAAATCTGCATAAATGTATGTATATATCTCACATTGTGATAAAACAACGGTACATAGAACGATCGAATTTTGAATGACGTAATCCTACTGCGAATCTGAGCGTGTGGAAGACCAAATTCGAAATTTGGAGTTGGTTTTATTATCGATTTCATATTTTGTTAAACTTTAACAAATTTTTATTAACAAACTCAAGGATTTCAAAGCAAGCAATGGCAGTGGTGTACAGAAAAACATTTTTATCTCCAAGCACACAAGATTCTGTACCGGAAATTCTAAAGATATGTTTAATTTAAAACTACTTTGCGATATTGCTCTTGAACTGAATTTTATGGTTTAAGTGGGAAGAACATGATATTTAATAAATAAAGGTAACAGACAAAATGTTAAAAAAAAAAATTCCCCTTTAGATGTAATTTAAAATCTAAAGCGTTTTAGATTTTCTTTCCCTTTTTTTTTTTTTTTTTTAATTGAAATTATATTTTCGTTCTTTGTATCATTTTTATTTTATTTCCACTTTATACTAGCTGATAGCTGTAGCTAACAACTTGATGGACGAACGAGGTATATCCTCTCTAGATCTGTTAATTCACAAGTAGCTAAGGGTGTTCAAGCAGTTACTTAAAAATATTTGTTTCTTGCATAAAATTATTGGCTCTTTGAGAATTGTATAAAATCATTCCATAATAATAATAAAATTCTTTCAAAAATAAATATCGCTCATAATAAGTGATAACTGTCATCTTTTTTTGCATTTGAAGTTAAAAGGAACTTAAAGATAAAATTCAAGGATAAAAAATTTTCCAATTTTAAACAAATACTCCATGCAACTTACTTATACTCTGTATTCAACTATCCAATTATATAATTTATTTGTACCAGTTATTCATAATTTCAGATATTATGACTGTCTATTATACATTTTGTTTTATTAATGTTACTTAAATTCAGTATTTTTATAAAATGTTCTATTTCATAACTCATTATCGTTTAATATTAATTATATTAGTATTCAAAACATAATTTTTATATCATCTTCTCTATCTCTATCTCTATCAGGTCAAACCTTTCAGCTGAAAGACATTGTTAAAGATTTAAAAAAAAAAAAAAAAAAAAGAGGGAGAGGGCCTGCAAATAATATTCTCTTTTAAGATATAAATTGTTATTTTCAATGAAAGTTAATTTTAAATTTTTTAAAAAAATATAGCAGTCAACAATTTAATGGGATGAATGATGTTTTAAATCTTTCTCCCCCCTTCCCAAGTTTTCTGTTGTTAATTTTGTAGCGGACATTCTTAAAACTTCTTGTAAATGATCATTGATGATGCTTGATCATAAAACATTATTAAGATTCATTATAGGAAATGTTTGTATGCATATTTAGGTTGATCCAGAGATAACCAACATTTTTCAAGCTAAATGCTTAAGTTTGTAGAATTTATTCAAATAAAGAGTGTTTTATTTATATTCTTGTTAATTTATATTGTTATTAATTTATAATGTTTCTTAAATTAACATTTCAATAATTTTGTACATTTTTTATAGCACTTAGATATTTGATTGCAACATCAAAATCATTTATACGAAGAAAAAACTTTGAGGTAATAGATTTTCAATACTGCAGTTTTTACACCAAATGTCTAATTTTTCATTATTTTAAGTTTTATCTTCTTTTCCTTTTCAGGAAATCCTAACTAATGTATTATGCATTTCAAAAAAAGTACAAGTTTTACAAACTTCACCAGAGTTCCCATTTCCATACACTGATGAAGACTGCCGGAAACATTTATTACAACTGCTAATGACTTTACTTATCTGTAAATATCCCATTCAGGCTTCATCTGGAATGGAAATAATTAAAATTGTAGATAATGCTATTTATGATCCAAGTATTAAGGTAAGTTTTTACAATAGTATTTAAATATTGTGCATTATGAAAAGGAATTTTATTTTAGGTTGAGTTTTGGATGTAAAGATCTAGATTTTCATTGCAGGATATTAATTTTTCAAATGTGTATTAAAATAATTTTGTGTTTCAAATTCACAGTACTTTTTAACCAGCACTTCTTAGAAATGAACGCTTCCAGTGTCTTAAATAATAAAATAACTTAATTAACAGTAGTTTAATAAATATGTGCATCCTTTTTGCATATTTTTATCACTTATTTATCTATTTTCCCTTTTTTATTTTCTTTAAAATGTGTTGTAAATCTGTCTATTTCTATTCACATTTATATGGACTGAAGTAAGAAAAGGGAGAGAAACATTATGAAACTCTGCCGGTTGCAATATTGAGTATTTTTATAAAAACCATTTAACCTTTTTTTTTTCTTCTAATAAACAGTGTAATTATCAATGCGAGTGTTGAACTCTGCAATTTATCCAGGAGATGCATTTCTGTGCATACGTGAATGTAGAAAAGTAACCATGGTAACTGAAGGATTAAAGAATCTAATTTCCAAATTGAAACACTTTTTTTTTTTTTTTTTTGTTGTTGTTGTTGTTGTTGTCCAGAGCTTCTTTACATGCATAAATGTGTTTAAATTATATTCTATTATTTTATTATTTTCTGTTGCTTGCTTAGCAATAAGAAAAGAGAAAATTTTCATCTTTATCTTGTTACAAAAAAATATGAATTGCTGCTATTAAAATTGCATACATTGTCACCCAAGTCTTTATATGTAAACCAAAATGATTAATTTTGTTTTTGCTTTCACATGGACGAAATTCATATTGAATATTGAGGGGCGGCAAAGGGAAAGACAGCAAGTTGCAGTTGAGTTTGCCTTCTGTGTGTTGGCACCAAGAGATGGCAAATTACTCAAAGATATCTGGTGCTTCCTTGTTTTCAGCAAAACAATTAATAATGTTTCCCTCTCCCCATTGTTCCAAGTTGGGTACCAATATATTTTTATCCACAAATTCTTTGCCAGCTACCCAATCAGTATTTATAATATTTGTAAGGCATAACAGTTTGTTTTAGGTAAAAACTGAGACATTTCATTCATATCCTGCAATACTGAAATTAGCATCAAAACCTTTAAATTCTCTGTATTTTTTCTGTGTGTTTCTATTAAGATCTGATTAAAAACAATGAAAATGTTTTTCATGCTATTGCATTTCAAAAAATTAGCTATGATCACTCACCATAGCATGAAAAGTGCTCAATTTTAATGCTACTTACTTCATCACAGCATCATTGGACCATCTTTGCAATATTGAACTCTTATTAAAATTAAGACACAATAACACGCCGAATAAATACTAATTCAGAAGTCAAACAACAAAAATCAGCGTTATATTTACAAAATTTTCACAGGACTAGTTTCGATGGTTTTACCAAACCACCATACCGCAAAATTTTGCAGCTGAGGATGGTGGTTTGGTAAAACCATCGAAACTAGTCCTGTGAAAATTTTGTAAATATAACACTGATTTTTGTTGTTTGACTTCTGAATTCTTATTAGAATGTCTTAGGTAGAGCATCTGACAGTGCAAACATGGGAATGTGTGCATATCATGTAAAAAGGTCCCTAAAATGCAAAAATCTATTTATAATAACAGTAAAAGAGTTTTTAAAAAATAAAGCTCCTTATGAAATGTCTTTCCATTCAGCTGCCATCAACTTCGACTTTTATATACTAAGCACACATAACCTACATAACTTTACACAGATGTACTATCTATGTACATTATTAATGAAGATACTTAGAAACGATTTTATCAGCAGCTGAATGAATTTGTGAAAGAAAGAAAAAAGTAAATTAAAAGAATTGTGATATTAAGTATTTTTATTCTTCTGACACCAGTTGTTGCGTTATTTTCTTCCTTCACGTTCGTATGTGGTTCGTGTGGATTTAGAGTGAATAACGATAACACTTGATGAAGTCTTCGAAAACACACTTTATTTAGCCAGTATTAATCAGGACATCTCCAAAATCACATTTTACAGTCATCAGTGAACTACTCTAAACACCGCTGACACGATCAGCGACACACAGCGTTCACACTATCAGGCTATCACAGTGGAGACAAGCTTCCCTGCAAAGCACCAGAGTACAGCTCTAGACTCTGGTCGGCCGTTCTCGGAACTCCATGTACTCTCGACACTCTCCACGCTACAACTCGCGATGCACTCAACGACACACGAGCACAGCTCCCGACTCTTTGGTTCAGTCGTTTCCGAAGCTCAACACGCTCTCTCGACGATGCACTAACTGTGATATACTAACAGACTCCACTCGGCACTTGCTACCCAGCTGTCAACGCAATTGACTCGCTAGACGAGACACCAACTCGATACTAACTAACTCGCACTCTAGACGAGGCACACGCACACACTCTGACTGACTGCAGATCAGCAGGGTTTATATAACTTTCGGCTTGTGTTCGAGAACATTCTGGACTAAACTGGTAAGAATTCATTCCAGAAGGTTCTCCAACCATCCGTGGTATATCGCCAAATGGGGCAACCCTGCCTTCACTTGCCATTTTATAACAACCCTAAAACTGCTTTGCGGGGAAGCCATCTTACCGTGCCTGTACCTGTACATTTCATAACACTGCCCCCTCGCACATCCCGGGCAATACAACCCTTGGTCAGAAGCCAAATTCAATACAAACAAAATGTTATAAAACAAACAAATAACATAACTAAAGAAGCAAACATTTACACTATGTACAAGTTATATACACAAATTAGATACATAACAATTTTAAATTATATACATTAAAGTTCAGAATGAATTGCAGTCTCAGTCTATTTAAAATATACCCGGGTCTGTTACTTTTCCACTGCAGTTCTCAGATGCATTTCTGTTTTGCATATCACAGTATGAAGATTCAGTCCTTTCAGACTTTTCATCCACAGGAAGACTGAGACAGTTTGTTCATTACTCTGTAGTTCATTCGCAGCATACATACAATTCACCTTGATATATTCAGCAGCTGGTAATACTGGTTTTCCCCCGTTTTCTGGGAATCAGCTTCAAATTCTGCATCATGAACTTAGCCCGATTCTTCACAAACACAAGTAAGTATCCAGGTTTAGAATCAAGTCCTTGTCTACAAAATCTGCACTATGAGACGCACACCCAGTTTGCAAAGTAGGTGAATTTTCTTGCAGTACTAGAGCGCACTGCTTAAGCTGCACATCAGCTTCTTCCATCTCTGCATCACATGCACTTTCAGATGGTTCAACACCTGCTGCCTACAACTTCGTAACTTCACTGTCAGTTTTCACAAACTTAACAGTCGCATTTTCATTTTCTTCCACTTCAGGCACTTGAGAATCAAAAGCTTCTTTCCTGTCTTTTATTTCTTCATGTTTTCGTTCTTTTTCTTTAATCCCGTTAGATGTTTCATCCTTAATTTTTTGATCTTTCTCAGACAATTCATTAGCTACTCCCTTCTTTTCCTCATCCTTGGATTCTTCAGATGCTACTTCTCTCATTTCCACATCGTCTTTTATGCCTCCAGTTTCATCTGTAAGCTCCACTTTCAACTGTTGGAGTTGTTCTCGCACATTTTCTTCGCCATTTATCTCTTCTAGTCCGGCTTTGATCTCAGCTGTCATCTCTTTATATCCAGCTTTTATCTCAGCATATCCGTCTTTCAACTTCTCCTGTCCGGCTTCCATCTTTTCTTGGAATTCAGCAAAGGCAGTCACGAGCTGTCTTAATAGATCTTTCATTGGTCTTGTCACTGGCATTCACTCTCAAACCCCACTCCTGACACTACTTGTTATGTCGTTTATATATATATTATTATTATTATTATTATTATTATTATTATGACACCAGTTGTTACGTTATTTTCTTCCTACGGTTGTACGGGGTTTGTGTGGATTTGGAGTGAATAACGACGGCACTTGATGAAGTATCAAAACACACTTTATTAGCCAGTATTGTCAGGACAGCTCCAAAACACATATTACAGTCATCGATGAACTTATATAAGCACCCTGTCACGATCAGCGACACTGCCTTCAGGCTATTACGGTGGAGATAGCTTCCTGCAAAGCAGACTCTGCTTGGTCGTTCTCAGAACTCCACGTACTCTTGAGACTCTCGGCGCTACGACTTGCGATGCACTCGACGACACACGAGCACAGCTCCCGACTCTTCAGTTCAGTCATTCCCAGAGCTCAACACATTCTCTCGACGATGCACTAACCGCGATACACTAACAGACTCCTTCAGTGTACTCGCTGCCCGGCTGTCAATTTGATTGACTCGCTAGACGAGACACTAACTGACTGCGGACCAGCAGAGTTTATATAGCTTTTGGCTTGTGTTCGAGAACATTCTGGGTAAACCGGTAAGAATTTGTTCCAGAAGGTTCTCCAACCATCCGTGGTATATCGTCAATTTTGTCGCCAAATGTGGCAACCCTAAAACTGCTTTGCGGGGAAGCTATCTCACCGCGCCTGTACATTTCATAACAATATCATATGCACCTTTTCAGCTCAAAAATAGTCTTAGGAAACAGGCAGTCAAAGGATAAGAATCTGCAACTTTCCATTGTACACTGTTCAGAATTTAAGAACTTAGTATGAGTATATTTTTTACAAGTACAGATACATTCTGCCTTATGAGTAAGTTACGTTCTGAATGTCTGTTTGTACCGTAAAGTTATTCGTCAAATATTACTAGGTTCGCTATGCATATCTTCTAACAATATTCATGAGATAAAATGTATAAATGCTATTATACTTAAATGAATAAATAATGCGTTTTAAGTTTTTAATACGATTCATAGTAAACACAAAATTGTCAGTTAATAAAGAATTATTTTACGAGGGCCATCCAGGAAGTAGATTACGTTTCCGTCTGTGTCCGCTAGGGGCGGGGCTAGCGCGGCCATCTTGGGGTCAGAGCGTTGCGCAGCTCAGTCTGC